TTTAGCATCATTTTAAATTTGAATTATAATGTCCAGATAGCTTCATTTAGCTCAGAGCTTCATTATCTCTCTCACTAACATAAATACTGTTTATTATTAAACTGTTATTATTTAGCACATTTATGTTATAGTGCAGCGCGACGTGTGCACGTGCCTCGTTCTATAAACAGCGACATTAGAACTGGATCAGACTGTGTCTCTTCCAATACAGATGTCGGTCACAGCACCTGTAATCTGACGTAGATTAACTACGAGATTAAAAATATACTCCATCAGTCGAGGTTCTGAAAGCGGCGTGTCCGCCGCCATGTTGATAGAAATATAGCGTCTGTCCGTGCGTGCGCATGTGGTTTAACACAAAGCGTCAGCGGGAGATGTTCACATTATCAATGGGGGGTCAGAGAAAAACCTCCACTCTGGAAGGTGGGTTCAGAAACCTCCGGATTCAAAGAGGGGGGCCACTGGTGTTGTGTAGATGGATCAGCAGAACCTCAGAGAGGAAGCTGCGGATCCACTCAAAATACGCGCCGTGTAAACGGCCCCTTACAATGCTGTGATTGCTAGTATCACTCAGCCCTCTGTGAACAGTAAACAGCCATCAGGTGCTAATGATCCATTGTTAGGCTGATGGTCCTTCTTGAGCATGTGATCAGCTGGTTCTGGTTGTCAGCAGCAAACTGGTTGATCCACTCTGAGAAGGTGCTATTTAAGAGACTGAGCTGAATACAGCACCTCAGACTGAGGAAGTCCTCAGGATGAGAGACGAAACATTTCTACATTATTTGTTGTTGTTGCTGTTGATGTTGCTGTTCCTCCAGAGGACCGAATTTAAATTTTTTTTATTTTTTTTATTTTTTATTTTTATGAAAAAAAAATTTAACCTGGATTATTGAGCATGCGTCAGGATGGTGTGAATGTTGTTTAATGGGTTTTTGCCATGATGTACTGAAATGGTTTATAGTGTTGGGGTTTTCAAACTGTGCTCTGGTCATTTTCCTTCTATGTCAAAGAATGTTCATGTTGGAGTAACTGGTGACTGTAAATGGCTCCCAGGTGATTTTAATGGCTCGGCCAACGTGTGGCCCAGTGTTGGACAGCTGGACTCTAACCTGGTCCAGGTAGATGGTGATGGCAGCTCCCAGTAACCCTGAACATCGTCACCCAAACTGAACCCTGAGCTTGAGGTTAACTTCCATTTTACTGAACCCACTCTATGGAATGCCCTCCTGCTCAGATCAATGAGAAATCAAAATGATGCTGAGAATCCATTCACATTTTAGATTTCTAGTTGACTTGCTGGTTTTATGTATTTATTTTACTTTATTTATTTTTTGCTTTACTGTGTGAAGACAGACTTCAAATTTATCCAGTTCTCTTCAGATAGATTTTGTTTGAGCACACCTGCAGTGCTTTTGCTTGGACCTTTTTATCTGCACGTTGTTCATGAGGATGTTTGAACCCATCCAGAGGACCTGACTCGACTTTTTTCTGGATTATTGAGCAGCATCATGACGGTTGTTAAAATGCTCTGTAGCAGGAGTGTCCAGTTCTGGCCCTTGAGGGCCACCATCCTGCAGGTTTTAGATGTTTCGCTGCACCAACACACCTACATCAATGGGTTCTGCAGGTCATGTAGAGGGGATTGAACCACTGAATCAGGTGTTGAGCAGGGAAACCAGTAAAACATGCAGGATAGAGCCTCCAGGACCAGGTTTGAACATTCTTCTACAGAAATGCATTTTAATTGAAGAAAAATGAGGAAAGCTTCTTTCATTCCAGTTCTACTTGCTCATGGAGTTCTTGCATTTGGCATAACCAGCTACAGTTCTGTTTCTACAGCCACATTTGATCATTTCAGTCACTGGTGGTGGTCTTTGAACGTTTGGTAGCTCTTGACTTGTTCCTTCAGAAGCAGCGTGGTGGCCTCGGCTTCCTCTGACACTGATTTTAGATCAGCTAAATTACATCAGAATAGTCCAATCTCAGATTAATTTAAGTATTTGGTAGATTTTCTGTTCTTTTGGTTGTGTGTGTGTTCAGGTGTTTGTTTGACGGTCAGCTGACTGGTTCCAGCTCACAGTTCCTGCCTCGGGTTCAAGATGACAAAGTTCAGTTTGAGGTCGAGGCGTTCAGGTTTGAGCAGGACAACAGCGGCGTGGTGAGACACTCGACTGATGTATTTTTTGTTTTAATGTTTGCTTTGCTGTTGTAAAGTTTCTGTTTGGTCTCTCCAGCTCTACGTCACCTGCAGTCTGAGGGCCACAGCAGCTGCTTCACCCGTCACCTCCACCAACAAGGACTGTTCATTTGCTGACGGGTGAGACATTAACGGTCGTTTTTAAAACTTTAAACTTCCTTTTTTATCAGAACTAATGGAGCTTTGTTGAGCCAGGTGGAGGGAGGCGAGCGGAAACCATCGTGTCTGTTCCTGCTGTGACACGGACTGTGGAAAAGGTGGCGCCAGTGATCTGCTGAAAACTGGTAGGAGAATTCAAGTTCCTGATTTGTCATGAAAGGTCAAAACGAGGTCAACGGTACAATGAAATGCTCAGGATGAGGAAAACTGATTTGACTCACTAAAAAAAACAAAAACGAATAGAAAGAAATACTCCAGTATGCAATAAGGGTACACAATAAAGTACCAAAAAGTGAAAAAGTATTTATATTTGCAATGTCCTAAAGAGATACAGAGCAACAACATGGTAGAATATAACGGTGCAGCAGGATGAATTTGAATGAATAATTATTTCAAGGTAGTAATGAGCTAAAATGCACATGCGAACATTTTTCAGTCAGGTTATCTGGACAGTTTCTTTTTTTGTGCTGAAACGTTTCACCTTCCATCCAGAAGGCTTCATCAGTCAAAGAAACGCACAACAAAACTGATTCTTCCCCCAACAGCTTACTCCAAAGTGGAACAAACCAGTACTGCTTGTGATAAGATGGTCTCTTTGGTACGACCCCTCCTCCATTGCCGGCACTCTTCCTTGTTGACAGTCGTGACAAACTGGTTTAAAACAACAAAGTCCATGCTCAATAATCCAGGTATACAATACAACATTTTTTCAGTCAGGTCATCTGGACAGTTTCTTTTTTTTTTTTTTTTTGT